AATCTCCAATTGTATTAAGAATTTTGGACTAAATTGTAGAGTCCCATAGCCCATTTTTTTATCTTCCCATAGGGTAAGTTATTGCAATGGGCCGAAAATCGTAATTGAAATTTTTTACATTTCTCGACGTTTTGAAGGTTTCTGAACATTTTGGCATACCTCAGAAAAAATGGATGTGTGTGTGTGTGTGTGTATGTATGTATGGATACAAATTTCCAGTCACGTTTTAGGGCGCACGGATCAACCGATTTGAATGGTTCAAAAAACATTCGATTCCCATTGATAGGGAAAAGAGCTGATTAGTTTTTGGCAAAGGCAGGTCCAGCCGTTTCGGAGATACGGAGCAAAGAGTGCAGAAAATAGAAATCGCATTTTTGAGAGAACGGAGTATCCGATTTAAATGATCTAAAAAACATTCAATTAGTAATGATTGGGAGAAGTGTTTCTTAGTTTTTGGCAAAGGCAGGCCCAGCCATTTCGAAGATACGGAGCTAAGTATGTAAACAATGGCAGTTTTTGAGAGAACTAAGCGTCCGATTTAAATGATTCAAAGAACTTTCCGCTTGTCTTAACAAAATAATTGATTTTGGAAAAAAAAATTTTGTTCCAACTTTTTTTTTTTTAGTTTTTTGTATATCGAAAATAATTCAAATTTTATTTTTAATTCTGACTAAAGTTCTAATATACTTTAAACAATTTCAACTTTACAATTCAGTTTATATAATTCTTATAAATATTAGATAATGTTACAATATTAATAATAATCCATTTGAAAACATTCAGTATTCCTCGAACATTTCGTTACGGTACGGGAAGTTCCAGCAATTTGCCTTAAGGCACGATGTCATAATTGCCTCAAGACAGAGTTCCACTTACAGCTAGTTTAAATCTTTTTATTATACTGGTCTTAGAATTCATTAGGATGATACTCAATTATTAATCTATGAGTACTGCGCCTGTCTTAATTAGTTAATCTACAAAAGGTATTTTCAAATTATAATGGATTGTAAAAAAATTGGAGACGTACCAAGGTACATCGGACATACTTTTTAAAATCTTTGATTATATCAACAATTATAGACGTACTTGCAGAGCCCCATAGCTTAAAGCTATAATGGCAATCATAATAATACAATTTTATAAGATATTATGAAAAGTATAAATTATATTATTATTATGAAACTCATTTGGATGATCCTCAATTATTAATCTATGAGTACTGCGCCTGTCTTAATTAGCTAATCTACAAAAGGTATTTTCAAATTATAATGGATTGTAAAAAAATTGGAGACGTACCAAGGTACATCGAACATATTTTTTAAAATCTTCGATTATATCAACAATTTTAGACTCACTTGCAGAGTCCCATAGCTCAAAGCTATAATGGCAATCAATATACTACAATTTTATAAGATATTATAAAAAGTATAATTATCAATTTCATTATCTCAAAATATCATATCATTTCTAAAATATGGTATTAAGACTCCAGTGAGTGATTATCTACCTAAGGCTGAGATAAGTCCAAGACTGACATTTTTTTGAGTTTTCTTATTGCTGCTCTTTGAACTCATTCGGAGGATCTCCGATTTTTTATTCATAAGTACTGCTTCTGTCTTTAATTTCTTTAAATCTTCATTTTATAAGCTATTATACAAAGATTAAAATAAAGCTAGTATTTATATAAATCCGTCAAGTGATTTTGTAATTATGGCTTAAGTAGGAGCAAGTCCAACATTTTTGGGAGTCTTTGAGTAACTTATTAACTTCCCGTAAGGTAAGTTATTGTAATGGGCCGAAAATCGGAATTGAAATTTTTGACATTTCTCGACGTTTTGGAGGTTTCTGAACATTTTGGCATACCTCAGAAAAAATGGATGTGTGTGTGTGTGTATGTATGTATGGATACAAATTTTCGCCCACGTTTTCGGGCGTACGGATCAACCGATTTGAATGGTTTAAAAAACATTCGATTCCTATTGATAGGGAAATGTGCTGATTAGTTTTTGACGAAGGCAGGTCCAGCAGTTACGGAGATAAGGAGCAAAGAGTGCAGAAAATAGAAATCGAGTTTTTGAGAGAACGGAGCATCCGATTTGAATGATCTAAAAAACATTCAATTAGTAATGATTGGGAGAAGTGTTTATTAGTTTTTCGCAAAGGCAGGCCCAGCTATTTCGGAGATACAGAGCAAAATGTACAAAAAATGGCAGTTTTTGAGAGAACTAAGCGTCCGATTCAATTGATTCAAAGAACTTTTTGCTTGTCTTAACAAAATAATTGATTTTGGAAAAAAAAAAATTGTTTCATTTTTTTTTTTTTTTAATTTTTTGTATATCGAAAATAATTCAGATTTTATTTTTAATTCTGACTATAGTTCTAATATACTTTAAACAAATAATTTCAACTCTGCAATTCAGTTTATATAATTCTTATAAATATTAAACAATGTTACAATATTTATAATAATCTATTTGAAAACATTCAATATTCCTCGAACATTTCGTTACGGTACGGGAAGTTCCAGCAATTTCCCTTAAGGCACGATGCCACCCACCCCACTAGTTTCGATGATTTTTTGGAACTGGTCTTAGTAACTCATTTGGATGATTCTCAATTTTTGATATATGAGTAAAGCTCCTGTATTTGATTATTTAATCTACGAAAGGTGTAAACTAGTCAATATGGATTATTAAATTGGAGTCGTATCATGATGTGTTTCTAATTAAGTCTGAGGTAGGTCGAGGACCAACATTATTATAAATCTCCAATTGTATTAAGAGTTTTGCATCTACTTGCTCAGCCCCATAGCTCAAAATCATAACAGCACTCAAAATAATACAATTTTGTAAGCTATTATAAAAGATTAAAATAAAGCTAACATTATTTATAAAAAAAAATGTATAGAAATCACTCTAGTTGTGATTTTTTATTCAAGGCTAAGGCAGTAGGTCCATGGCCAACATTTTTTGTCTTCTTATCGCTGGTCTTTGAATTCATTTGGATGATCCTCAATTATTAATATATGAATACTGCTTCTATTAATTTAATTCATTAATTTAGTTATTTAATCTACTAAATGTTTTTTCAAGTCATTATCTGGGTTGTAAAATCGGACTCGTCTAATAAGGTACTTTAGATATATTTTTTAACTTCCCGTAGGGCAAGTTATAGTAATCGCAAAAAAATCGAAAATGAAAATTTTTGCATTTCTTGACGTTTCAAAGGTTTCTGAATATTTTGGCATACCTTAGAAAAAATGGATGTATGTGTGTGTTTGTGTGTGTGTGTGTGTGTGTGTGTATGTGCGTGTGTGTATGTATGTGCGGATACAAATTTTCGTCGACGATTTCGGGAACACCGATCAACCGATTTGAATAATTCAAAAAACATTCGATTCGTATTGTAAGGAGACGTGCTGATTAGTTTTTGGCGAAAGCATGTCTAGCCGTTCCGAAGATACGGGGCAAAAAGTGCCGAAAACGGTAACTCAGTTTTTAAGAGAACGGAGCGTCCGATTTTAATAATTCAAAAAACATTTTACTTGTATTGACAAGGTGAAGAACCGATCAAATTTTCATAAAGGCAGGTCTAGCGGTTTCGGAGATCTAGTAAAAAAAGTAAAAAAATGCTATTTGGCGGTCAAAAATGATCATTAGACATATGCACATCAAATTATCAGATATTTTATAGAGATTTTAACAATAAGTATAATTTTGGTTTACATTCCTATGGGTTCCGTACCAATGTTTACGCGTTAGACGTCGACGCGGCGCTTACGCGATTTGATATTCCGTCTTTATGCAGTTAAAGCAGTACGATTGCTTTGAAAAAATTTTAGATATGTCAAAATAAAGAAAACATTTTTTTTCAAAAAAAAAAATTAAAAAAAAATTTTTTTTTCAAAAAAAAGTAATTTTTTGTCTAATTATTTGTCAAAAATCTTATTTTTTCGAAGTAATTTTTTTTCAAAAATGTTAATCGTTTTTAAAATAATAATAATTTTTGGTACGGGAAGTTCCAGCAATTTGCCTTAAGGCACGATGCCTTAATTGCCTTAAGACAGAATTCCACTTACAGCTAGTTTAAAATTGAAATTAGACGATTTACTTGGTATAACGATAGAGTACTTGGTCTAAATGCACATACTAAACAATGAAAGTCCTACAAAATACTGGCTCAATTATAAAAATTATTGATTTTTGAAATTTTGCTTTTAAAAAATACTCCGACCGGGTTGACGTGTTCGAATTTCAATAATGTGTAATAAATCCACTTCCAATACTTTTAACTACTCATAAATTAAATTATCTATCATGGATTAAGACGATTATTTACCCAAATCGGGAAGTTCATGTAACTTGTCTCAAGGCAAAATACCAATACCATAGTTGTTTCGCATCTTCGAAACGGATAGACCTGCCCTCGCCAAAAACTAATCAGCACGTCTACTTGTCAATACGAATCGAATAACATAACAATAACAATTATCGAATGTTTTTTGAATTATTAAAATCGGTGTTCCCGAAATCGTCGACGAAAATTTGTATCCGCACACACACACATACATCAATTTTTTCTAAGGTATTCCAAACTATTCAGAAACCTTTGAAACGTTAAGATATATAAAAATTTTCATTTTCGATTTTTTGCATTTACTATAACTTACCCTACATGAAGTTAATGAACATATATTTGTAAGAAAAATTAAATTAATTCAAAACAAAATTAATAAATATAACATAGTTTTATTGACCTTTTATTGACCATATAAACAAAATTATTTCTATATCATCATAGATCTTACACTACTGTAGTATAATAATGATTCAAATTAAAGCAATTCGCTTGTGATAACAATTATTACAATATTACATTATTATGTTAGGGGCCGTTCAAGTATTATGTAAGCACTATAGGGGGGGGGGTTTATTGATTTGCTTATTTTGCTTATTTTGGGTAAGAACTTTTGCTTACTTTTGTGACAAAGGGGAGGAGGGGGTAAATAATTGTAATAAATCTGCTTACGTAATACTTGAACGATCCCTTATAAATATTTATTGTTTGTGATGCACTGATAAATGCCTTTTCAATTGACTCAATCTTGAAAACTTTTTATTGCATATTTCACACTCATAACTTCGTTCACCAGTATGGATATTTTCATGCTGTTTTAAAGTTTTTTTCAAATTGAATGTTTTATTGCATATTTCGCATTTGAAAGGACGTTCTCCAGTATGGATCACTCCATGCACGTCTAGATGGGTTTTTCTTGTAAATCCTTTATTGCATATTTCACATTTAAAAGGGCGTTCTTCGATATGGACTGAATTATGTTGTCTTAGATGGCTTAATCGTTTAAATCCTTTATTGCATATTTTACATATATGTAATAGCTCTCCAGTATGGATCTTTTCATGTTCGGTTAATGTATATTTGCTTTGAAATGTTTTATCACATGCCTCACATTTATAAGGGCGTTCTCCTGTATGAATTATTTTATGTCGGCTTAGATATTGTTTTGTGGTGAATGTTTTATGGCATACTGCACATTTGAAGAGGCTATCTCCAGTATGGATCTTTTCATGTAGTTTTAATGATTTCTTGAATTTAAATGCTTTATCGCATGCCTCACATTTATAAAGGCGTCCTTCTATGTGAACCGTGATCGTATGTCGTCGTAAATATCGTTTTGAATTAAATGTTTTATCACATATCTCGCATTTAAGAATACTTTCGCTGTGGATTATTTTATGTTGATTTAATTCTTGTTGGGTTTTGAATGTTTTGTTGCAAATTTTACACTTATGGAGTTGTTCTTCTTGCTCTATTTCTTCTTTGATTGTAACCTCAGATTGTGAAAATTGTTGTGGATATTTTTCTTCGTCTTCCGGACATACCTCTGTTACTTCATAATCATCTAATTCTTGTTTAACTTGAATATATTCGAGTTGTTCCATTTTAATGGTTGTTGATTTTGTTTCTTCACACATTTCAGGTTAACTTGTGTTCGTTCTAACATTTACTTCTTAAAGTCGAAAAGCCTTTCAAATCTGCATGTGTTTAATGTATAAAAAATACAATTTATTATAGATTAATAACAGTTTTGTTCAAATTCACTAAAATGTTATAAAACATTCGCTTGGAGGTTTCTATTTAATTTTGACATTTGACATTAGCAAAAGGACAGGTCGAACAACATTGAAAACATACCAACCTTTCCATAGATAAATAAGCATAAATAGATCGCTATGTCTGGCAATTTGACGTTCCATCGATTGAAATGAAAAACTTTGATTATAGATGGCAGCACATGTACATTTTGTAAATTAACTTCTACTTTTGTACATATAATCAACACAGCCAAAAATTGGAAATAAGAACAAAACATACGAAATACAAAATATATTTTCAAATATATCACAGATCACAGACATATTTTTGAAGAATTATAAACTAAGCAGAAATAACTGACTACTATGCGGGGTACCACAGGGCAGTGTGCTAAGCCCTGTACTTTATCTTCTTTTTACAAATGATATGCCCACAGATGATCTTCTAACCATATGCACTTACGCCGATGACATAGCAATTATTTCATGCGATTCCGATATTAGAACAGCAACTTGTCAGTTACAAAATTATTTATCTAGTCTCGAAAAATGGTTTTTAGAATGTAATATCAAAATCAATATCGAAAAATCTCAGCACATAATTGTTTCTCTAAAACATCACAACCATAGATAAACAAGTATAATAGATCGCTATGTCTGGCGATTTGACGTTACCTCGATTGAAATACCAATTTTTAAAAATAGATGGCAGCACATGTATAATATTTAAATTAACCCCTGGCATTATGTCTTAATTTGTACGTATTGTATACAGTCCCAAAAACATGAATAATTTTTAATATTGGAAATAAGAACAAATCATACGAAATACAAAATATGTATTTTCAAAGATATTACATATGTTTAAAGAACAATTAAAATTATGTTTATATTAACAATTATAATTACAGTTATGGAATGTTTGAAAATATAATAATTATTATACATAATTATAAGTATTATAATTCCACAATTATGCTTAAATAATATTTCAAAAACTAAAGATCTAAGTGGAGAAAACCACAGAAGTATTTTACTAAACTAAGCAGAAATAACAGACTAATATTAATTACTTAATGACTAATATTAATATATTAAAATCTTAAAATTTAAGAAGAAACTACAAGCACAGGAGCACGCGATGAAATTACAAATTTAGAAGGAATGACAAATAATACAAAAATTTAAAAGATTAAAAAAAAAACAATTTGTTAAAAAGTACAAATACTTCACAAACAAAAGTCCTAAAAACATATATATATATATATATATATATATATATATATATATATAAATATCAAAATTGAGAGAAATTCAAATTCCTAGGATTAAACCTCATTTACGAGACATTGTTCTTTATTAATTCTGCATGTAATAGTTATTTTGCTATCTAATGAATTAATAGTAAAGTTGCATTTAACGAAACCTTTGAATAGTTTCTGTACGAGTGTTTTATAACATTACATTTAGCCATGTTTCATCATGAAAACATTATCATTGAAATTGCCATAAAAGATCAACAAAGTGCGAACAGAATAATATTTTATGCACATACAATTGTTTATGAATCGAAAGATAAAAGCAATATATTTGATTCCTAAGGTAAGTAACACATATATCTTGAATTTAAACATTATATTTGGATGTTGCACAAGTGTTTGCATTTGCTAATGTAATAGATAATCTTATTAAATATAACAATGAACTTACGTTGATGAACATTTGAACCAATACTGAATAACTGTTTTGCAACATCAACAATATGAGATTCAATCCAATCATATAACAATTCCGAAGATAATGGTATTTCAAAAAACATCAAAACACTGTTACTAATACTTTTTAAAAGAAATAGCTGAACCTAATGTTTTAAATAAACACTCGTGAATACTGCTATACTCTTATATCTCTGAATGCAACTTTCTCAATATTTGAGGACATCGCAAAATAAATATTTGTCTCCAAAAATAGTAGACCTTTGGAGACTTTTTGTAGGACTTATTCCTTAAATTATAGCATTGTTTATGAATCCTTCTTGTCATTACATGTTGCATTTCTTGGTTGTCAAAAGTACTCGCATTTTGCAGCAATTTGCAGGTACCCCCAAGACACCTATTCAATATAATAACATGTTGAAATATCTTGATTATATGTAATTATTGCTGCAATTATTATTAAAAAATACCTTTCCAGAAACTTGTATTGGATTAGGTAAATATTTTAACCCGCACTTGACACTTTTTTGGGTACTATAAAAACACTTTGCCATATTAAATTTCACTAAAATGTTCACTTAAACACAATTAATTAATTAGAAACAATTAACCTACACACAAACTTAGGTTATGCTTAGGTTATTCGTACAGCGATTAAATACTTGACAGCTACTTGCACGAACCACGAACAATTTGTAGTTGAAATGAGTACACATGAGCCATCTGTTTTTAAAAATTGGCACTACTAAAGACCAAAACAGTGCAACGCGCATTTGTTTGAAGATAACTCCCCATGATCACAACAGTCCACCTATCATCATGAACAATTCAATAATTCCACTATGCAATTCTGTTAAATACTTAGGCATGCACATTGATTCGAAATTGACATGGAGAACGCACATTGAATATAAAAAGAAACAAATCCAACTGAAAATCAAAGATTTTTACTGGCTTTTTGGGAGGAAATCTGAAATATCTCTCTTGCTAACAAGGTACTTCTGTACAAAACTATCATAGTGCCCATTTGGACTTATGGAATCGAACTATGGGGTTGCTCATGCAAATCTAACATAAACATCATTCAAAGGTGCTAGAATAAAATTCTGCGTGTCCTTACTAATGCGCCTTGGTATATTTCGAATTTTTGCCTACATAAGGATTTGAAAATCTCAACAGTCAACGAAATGATCAAGATTAGAAGTTCATCTTTCAACAATAAATTAATCCAGCATACAAATCCTACAATTCAAGCGATTCACAGACCGTTAAGAAGATTGAGCAAGAAATGGCCTTCCGATCTACCAAACACCTAGCCCAATGTCTGCACGCGTCCTGACGTAGTACGCGGCATACATCATCACGTCATCGTTCATTTATGTTATTATTTTTGTATTACTGTTTTAATTTAATTTTTATTTTAACTTTTTTTATTTTATATTCAATTTATTGCATTTTTTGTTATTTTTGTATTTTTTTTTGCTCATATCAATTTTGTAAATAAGTCATTAAAGTCTTGATTAACAAAAATAAATTGTAACATAAAAAAAAAACTATTAATTAAAATATTTTACAGACATATTTTCAAAGTACTACAAACTGAAGAGAAATAACTTATTAAAATTAATTACTTAATGACTAATAATAATATATTAAGTACTTAAAAAGTAATAAGAGAAAAGCGCATGAGTATTGATGATAGAATGACAAATTTAGCAGGAATGACAAGTAAGACAAAAATTTAAAAGAAAAAAAACAAAAGATATTTTTAAAAAGGAACAAATACTTCACAAACAAAATAATCATAAAAACA